TGTGACGACACGAAATAAATGAGAAAAGTATTATGTCACCTTGGAAACCGCCGTCTTCCTTCAAAAATATCGAAGTATGTGAACCAAACAAAAAGCAAAAAAAGGGAAAAACTGATGATAGCAATGTCATTCTTGAATTCTTTTTAACAACGAATAGTACATATCTATTAAAATCATTATAAAATAAAATTTCAAAATTTTTATGGCTGAGATCTATTGCATAGATGTGAGATACTGAATAACTTAACTCCCGAATATTTGGCGGAGGGTTTTTTAAATTGATGTTTCATCATCACATCACTTTCAGATGTACCAATGTTCAAATATGCATCTGTTTGACACCAATAACAAACAATCGGTCAAGCTGATTCTTGCATTTTCCATCGTTTGGCATTCGAATTCCGTATATCAATGAATGGGTAACTACCATATGAACACGTCGCAAAATGACCAGTGAATGAATGGTATGTGAACGAAAAGATTTGAAAGTTTCTCGAGCATTGCCTGGAAGGCTATCTTTATGATAACCTGCTGATAATGCATTATTTTATCCTTATAATAAATTGCGGTATTCACATCAGCGATCCAATTCTGCACAACGAGACAGCAGCACCGCCAAGTCTACTACTACTACTAGTACTAGTAGTAGTGGCTGCTGAACGATGAGTACCAGCGGTTTCACAATCCTTACTATCATCAGATATCTATTATTTCTTCAGTTTTTTCCTACTGCACCCTTCCCTAGTCATTTCCTAAACTATTTCAGTAACCCTATCACGTGGTGGCATATGCGTGAATGCGCTTATTACCTTCTTGGATTATTTTCATAAAGTTAATCTAAACTTGTTTGTACAATACTTTTTCATTTTACTAAATTTCTTATTCTTCATTTCACTAAATTTCTTATTAAATTTCTTATACTAAATTTCCCATTTTACTAGAAATTTCTTACTCAGTAAATAGCAGCAGCAATCATGACAAGTGCACCACCACCAATTTTAAATGCTGTGAGCGATAAACCCAGGTTTCATTTTCATCAGTCATGTGACTATTACGGCTACCTGTGAAAGATATTAGATAGATGTAGTGTTATGGAGTTAAAATGATTTACGCTACAAGGTGTTGCAGAATGCATAAAGCTGTCGTGTCATCCTTTTACCTCAACAGTACAAAAATGTGAGGGTCCCTTTTCATAATTATAATACCTTTTCTCATATCTCTTGTCAGTGTAACTAGAACAAACAGATAAACGAATTATTATCTGATTTAGTATTTTTGTAGATATGGACAGGATGAAATTCTCCGGATGAGGATTACTGTATTCCATCAACAACGAGGTGTTTTCCGGAGCAGTATGTACGATGGTATATCCATCTATCACATTTTTTTTTCGTGGTCTAAGATTTCTCGAAAGATAGCAAAATATAAATTTATCATGTGTTACTGTTGTCTGTATTTTGGTGATAGTAGTTACTAGGGAATTTGTTTTCTTTTTAAAAATTATGACTTAATTCATCCAAAAATTTTTACGAATTGCTCTCCAAAAACTCCCGGTAAGATTTCATTACGAGTCATTGTTTTGCAGTCAGCTTTCATTTGAAGATCCACAAATGGATAAGTTGTATCAGGAAACGAATGAAGCGATGTTCAAAGTACGATCACATAGTTTTTGTTGCACGTTTAGATGAGGAAGTGGTAGACTACAAGTTGTGAATATTTAAATACAGTTTTTTGAGATAGACAACTCATGATATATGTTTAGCAGCTGTTCTAAATGAATGCGTTCTTATTATTGCAGAAGAAAAAAAAAATTCCCATATTTTGGAGTTTTTATTACAGTAATTAACGGTCTAATATAATAACAATAGAAAAAAAAGGACATAGAAATTAGCAATGTTCAGTGGAAATTCGGTATGTTGTTTCTATATATCCTCGATAGTATTTATTGCTCTATATGATATAATTGAATTGATAATACTCATAACAATATTTGCATTGCTGAAATAGTTCACTGTATCACTACTTCATCTTGTCATTAGTATGAAAGCAAAGAAAGATTAATACACGTCGTTCCACATTTCATAAAATTCAGTTTTGCAGCATTCGTTTCCACAGCTGTTTACAAAAAGAATAGAAGAATCATTATTCTTCCTTCTGTCCGGAAAAGATAGCGACGAAGGAGCGCTACTAATGTGACAGAAATTGAAGCAGAGCACAGAGATCTTTTATTTGTAAAATCTTCTTTACCAAAAAAATTTGCTTTCGTATATTTATTCTCCGATGACCGAATAAAAAACAAAAAGAATAAAAAAGTTGAAGTATGGTTTGCTCAGAAATCTGTTATGTGCAACTAACAAATAGCATTATGATTTTTGATCCGTAGGCAAAATATATCAGAAGACTAATGTTAATTGCATTTTTGGTGAAAAAAATTAGTCATTTCACATTGCGATTTTTCACAGTCTTGTTAGCCGGTAGTTCCAGTTTCTCGATACTGATAAGTAGGATGATTTCTCTTTCGTTTCTGAGGAAAACAGAGAACCCAGAAGTAATGGATAATACATCGAGGAAGTGCCTGAGAAATCAAAGAAGATGAAGTGTGGTAGGCAATGAAGCCATTTTACAAAAGAAAACTCATTATGCATGATCTCATTCAGCTTGTGCATTGGTTTATAAACTGTTCATTCACACCTAATGATGCAGTTGAACAGAGTAGGAAAGGTCAGTTAACAAAATAATTATCAATGATACGGAACCAAATACACTAGTATGCATTCTCATCGGCATTTAACTGTTCTGATTTCCAGCAACGGTGATGTTTGGTCGAAGGTGGTAATGTTCGAAAATCTGGATTTTGCTCCACGTTTTGTTCCAGTGGACTGTATATCCTGAATATGTGCAGCACAGAGCAATCTCTTTTTGTACTATAGTTCCAAGAAGAATATTCAGATAGGAGATGGAACTCATGCATACTGTAAGAACTTGAATGCTTCTGTTCTTTACAGTGTTGTTCGTTAAGTTGTCCGTCCTAGCATTTTTTAAAGATCATTAAAAAAGAATTTTGATCGGAATAATTTAAGTTTCTTTTTTTTTTTAAAAAAAAGCCATTTATCCAGTTTAAATCAAATTTATTTGGAGAACTTGGAGAATGCAGTTTTCAATGCAGAAGGAATGCTATGAAAATGAATTTTTATACCAGTTTGCACTGAGCCATGAAAACTTGTTCAAAGGAATACATCCACTTATCTAAAAGAATGCTTCATGAAATAAACATCAGCCAATAGTCCCATAAAAGAGAATGCCAACTGATGGGTTCCTTTGTCAAACAGAACATATCACATCGAAAAAGCACGAAGAAAACGAACCTGACAATCCAGTGGAAGGCCACCATTCCAAAAACAAATTAAATTGCGCTTCGTACTTCTATATCCGGAGAACTTCTCATAACGAAAGAAATGAACTTTGTAACAATGATTTCCCTGCATTACAATGACCTAGCAATCTATTAATCTACGGAATTTTGAAATAGCTTATCAAAACCGATATTTTTGTTTATAGTGCGTTTTCAGACCCAATACTACTGAGGCGTTTAACCATTTCACTTTCCAAAAAGCCTGGCTGATGATCAAAAGGTCTGTTTTGAGCGTGCTTCTTGTACATAAATCAAGTTGTTGTGCTTCTTAACGTGGAATAACATAAGACGACACAACAGATAAGAAGCAAAAATAGATAAGACAGAAGAAATGCGAAAGCACTGGGAACTATATCAGAGAAAGAGATGGGAAAAATACAATTATGACTTAATATTACTGACCATGAAAAATTCTAGCAATAGATAAAAATACAGATAAAAAATACGACATGACTGTGAAGATGGAGAGAGACTGATTTTTTAAAGGGAACAAAAGAAAAAATATTAATATATATATATATGAAACAAACAATAGCTGGAACAACATTTGCACGGAAACCGCTTGGTGTTTCATTACGCATCATGATGTTAGCATTAAATGACAAAAAAAGAACTGTTAGTCACGTTGAATAAATAATCTGAATTAAATGAAAATATAAAATTAGTTACTGACCTTTATAGATCAGCAAAACAGCTTTGAAGGGTAGACTATGTATGGTCGAAATGCTGTAGCATCAACGGTCGAAACTCTGTGCTGAGTCTTTGGTATAGTTCTTGGCTTCATGAACTGGAATTTCGATGAGGGAAGGTTCATTTCACAAAAAGCTTCCGGCATATGTCAAAGCACTTTTAAACGAGAAGCAAATAGAATAACAGTCAATGACCCTAACGCTTTTAAAACATCGTAAAAGGCACATCTCACGGGGTTATTCACGAAAATAATGATAATAATTACTAGTAGTGATAATAACAATAATAATGAAAAAGCGAAACAAATATAAGATTCAAGTTTTGAAAGTAGAAAAAGTGAAGACAACATAAGAATTTGAAGTAAATCTAAAACTACCACAGCTACATAAGTGAAATAAGCACTAATCTCAGTAAGATGAAGAGAAAAACAAAACAATTACTATCCTTTTTTAAAAAATCTAGATGATAGACAAGAATATCATTAGGGAGAATGAACTTCCCTATTCATTCCCTTTCTGTTCTCAGCAACTTTAGCTTTCCTTATTATTTAATCACTGCTCTTCGGTTTATTTATTACCATATCGACCCTTAAACTCAGATTAGACATACAACACCGAAGCCATAAAGCTCGACTAAGATTAGACCATGAAAATAGAAAGTTATACTGTAAGCGGACTAATTGGAAAAAATAGCAAACATTCGCTCAACATTATATAAGTGTTGGTGTTTCCACAAAAGTAAAAACTGGAAAAAAAATAAGATCAGAAAAAATGTGATTGTATCAAAATTAGCAATAATGATACGTAAAGATGACTACAAAGCATAACAATGACCCTCACACAAGGAATAACAAGACAAGGAGCAGCGTAAAAAATCAACATATGATTTTACTTTACTATTATGAATTACTAAGAGTATTGTCGATCTTATCATAGCAAACACAATACGCTGCTAAAAAATAGTTTGTGTCTATGATACAGTGGGGCAAATCGCCATATCTATTGACATGACTGATCGATGTCATATCAACTGTTACTGTATTCTTTAATATATCATACAGTACGGTTGCCTGTAACGTATAAATAATGATGAAATACTCATCAAACACACGGAACCTTAATATAAATTATCCGGAGTCTTGAACAAAGTCTGACTCCGGTTTCTTGTCACAATCTGGTTTAAATAAGTCAACAGTGGAAAGTTTTGTTTTATAAAAACCGACAATCCTTTGCTTATATGCTGATGATTTAGAGCATAAATTCATTAACAGAATTTATAAAAACTTTACCTCATAAAGAGCATTTCCTGGTTTCGTAACAAATCTCAACTGGTAATGTGCAAATGCAGCTTTGGTTTTGGCAACCAAATTTGGTACAAAACCATCTATGTCTTTTGCATCCTTATATTTAAGCAAGTTTTCATGTGGAACAAGCCTCCGAGCATTTTCTAGCTTTGCCTACAAAAAAATTATATTCAACTTATTAAGCAACATTTATAGATGGAAAAAAGTAAAACCGAAAATGTGCAATATGTAAGGAGTGAAATGGTGCGTAAGAATGAACTGTTTTCAATAATGTTATAATAGTTCAATAATAGATCATAAATTTGATGCTGTGATTAATAAACAGTAAAGATCAATAATGGCTGTTACACAACGCATCACAACAGGATGAAGGAAAATGTAAAAGGACAACACATGATTTCCCTGTTACCATTAACTAAGTATACCGTTGATCTTATTACGTATTAGCAAACACAACATGTAGCTAAAAAGCATACACGACTCACGTAGCAAAATTTCACTGAATATCTAATATCACTTAAGAATCCAGTGACTACATTTCTTAAGCAAAATTTCATGAAAATTGTTTACAAACCAATTTCAGAGGAGCACATAAGTGTCGTTGAGATTTTGTGTGTGAATTGATCGTTTGGACAACAGCTTTACTCAACATGATAGATATATTTATTTGCTCGTTATTATTCATGGCAGATTCCCAATTTAGACACGTACACCAGTGCGGTTCGACATCGGCCTGCAATGTAAAATTCACAAAATAATTATACCTAGAAAGTAAGACTCCAATTTCGTTTCTTTTTTGGATCCTATAACCGTTTTTGGGAATTTCCAACCAATGCAGTGGGTATATTACAACTAGTACAGTGCAATCATAAATAGCTGAACAAACATCGACTCGTATGGTTCAAAGGTTATATAGGCATTAATATATTAGCGTTGGACAAAGGACAGATTCAAAACTGAAACAACCAATTTTTGCTACTTGATAAATCTGAATTAAAAAGATTTGATTTAAAATAAAACGGTATATCCATGAATCATTTAATGATATGTAATAATATTCCAAATAGGAAGCAATTAGGAGTGACGTAATGACCTACACTTAGTCGTGAACTAAAACAAGTAAAATCCTTGATACCAGTCTAGTAAACTATTCCTCAGTACAAACACTTGAATGCTTGATAAAATCACCTTTTTTATCTTTTTTAGATTTTTCAATTTTCCAATTTCTAATTTTTAAAATTTTTAACTTTTCTGAAGTAATTTGAAAGATATGCCCTTAAATGTGTCCCGGTGATACTAGTATTTAAGTATAAACAAAATATTCAAAAAGAACCTCTTCACAGGTTCTTGAAGGAGGAATTGGCCTAAAAACTGACAAGGAACGGAATTTTGCGTCACCCATAGTATTCAACTCCTGCTCTGTCGGCCAGTGAAGTATGTCAAGCAGTGTAGCGTGTATGTCGAATGGAGTTACCAGTCTGAAATGAGGGTAAAAGAATGTATGTGAATTAAACAATCAGCAAAAGTACGGAATATATACCAGTTATGGAATATATCAGTAATAAACCGTAATTGGTAGCTGCTTTAAAAACTGCAACACCAAGATCAACAACTCGAAACAAAACAATGGAAAAATAATAGGAAAAATATAGCAAATGCTCTCAAATAACAAACCTTGCCTTATTAGCTTTCAAATTCCTCCATGCTGTCCTTCCTTTATCGCTTTCTCTGAATTTTTTGGGAAGTGAAAGGGAAAAGAATGGAAGTCTTTCCTCCAGCTGCCCTTAAAATTGTACATCCACATTATCTTCCTAAAAATTCCTGACTAACGAATAAGTAGATATGAAACTGAAAATTTTTAATGTAGTTTACGAAAACCCAGACCTTCCATCCGAACGAACCTTGATGAGTGGCGCGAAATTTAGCAAAACGATGTCCGTGGTCAGCCATCACAATGACTAAAGCATTATCAAGAGTACCACTTTCTTTTAATTTTTTAAGATTTAACATTGTATCTTCATCAGCAACTTCTACCAGATTAACATCATCATGGCTTAATACACTATGGAATGCAAGTAGAAACTTCGATGTATTATATTTGTATCTCTCCATGAATTCACTGGTATACCGATACCATTCCTAAAATAAGAAAAAGCTTATAAGAAAAACAAAATATACTAAAGGTACCAAAAATCGAAATATAAAATATATACAACAGTAATGAGTGAATGGATTATCCAATTTCACCTTTTAATAAGCTGATTTTCGCTCAATGCATTATTTGTCATTTTGACTGCACAAAAAAAAAATTTTTTTTTTCGAATTATACTTCTTGCAAACTGTGAGAACTGAAGTGTTGAAAATTCCCATTTAGAAAATCGCTGGTCCCACTTAAAGTACATTACGGTTTTTGAAAGAAAAACGGAAATTAAAAACTGAGCAAATTTACAGAAAAAAAAAACCTTGTGCATTGGCACTGAACCCAAACACTGCAAATTCGAAAACATATCCTCAGCTTTTTGAAAAAACGTCCGCACGTAATGGTCTGTTGGCTGGTTTTTAAAACCCTGAAAATCTTGATTACGTAAATTCCGACTAACAGCTTCATGTTTTCTGAATTTTGGTTTTCAAATTAATGCAGGCAACTAACGCACCTTGAAATTAAAGAAGAACACATATATAAAGTAAATTCCTACCTTCAGACGATATGTAAACGTTCCAAGTTTTGCTGAGTCCTCCGCATACAAGGTTATGTAACCGGCATCGGAAAAATTTTTCCATACAAATGGATATACTTCATCAACATAATTTGCTTCTGCGAAACGCTTGCTATAATATATATATACTCCACATAATAGATACAGTTATTAACGTCCTTATGATGTTAACTTTTGGTGCTATGTTAGTGGGAAGAACTACTATTTTTATTTGCTGAAATATGAAGTATTTAAACAAAAAGTAATCTAAGTTATCCTTCAAAACAGATAAGACACATATTCACGTAGCAGTAAAAAGGACAAAAATTTTTCTTGGAAATTCTAACGTTTTCTGCATTTGTAAGAGTAGACAGGTAAGGTTTTTCATGTAAAGCAAAAGTAAATAAAGAAAATGAAAAAAACTGCCAATTTATAGAATATGACAAAAAAACTAACCGCGTGAGAGGTAACTCCTCTTCGGTTTGTCCAGTTAAAATCCGTATGAATGCTTGAGGAGTACCATCTCCGGCAATGTTGTATCCTTAAAAACTTGACAGGGTTATTTATATCCATATAAATTAACTCAACAAAACAAATAGGATTGCCTGGAGTCACTTTTGCTTTGAAGATACCAGGAAACGAAAATAAGTTACTAGATCTCAGAAATTCCGGTTACTTAATGCAACATTTCATTTGAAAATGGCACTATTGTATGGCCAACATGAATAGAGATAAATATTCACTGTCTTCATTGCATAAGTTAGTTATAGTTCGAACGTATTCGTAAGCAAAAGATAGACTTCCTTTCTTGATTATTCTATTAAATGAATGTTGCATACCATCAAGCACAACTGCATCAAATTCTTCTTCAATATATTTAACTGTTTTCGGAAGTTTACGGCGAAATGACATCTGGGATAATGAATCAAAGCCTATAAAAATAGGGTAGTATCTTTGTTCTTAAACACAAACATATGTTGCATATTTTTGATACAGGAAATTTAAAGAATATATTCAAACCTATGAAATATACGTCAAGACCAGACCAGTCTGGAGATTTTTTGATATGAGACAAATCTTCTTCTTTTTTCCGATCGGGAACAATCGTCCATAACAAATGTTTCCTTTAAAAAAGTTCTGTGAAATGAGTGCAATTTTCTTTTTCCACTTTTTAATGTTCAAAGCAAATACTGGTAACAGTCATGAAGTTTTACAATTCAAACAGGTTCTTTATTCACACCCGTAAGCATGGAAAATTTTTTGGTCTCTGGGGTGTATATCGATAGTTACGTGTGATAAACGTTAAAATTTCAAATAATATAAATCCCTCAACATTGCTAATCTAAAAATGTTGACAACAATGATGATTTCTTAAAATTATCATATGGAAATTGAATGTAAACACTTCCCAACCCTTTCTTAAACTACAATTCCGGTATTAAACCTTACATGGTTTACAATTACCAACTGTTTTATAAGATATCTATTGCATATTTAGGTCACATCAGAATGAAAACCTGAAGACATAGTGGGAAATAATCCATTCAGAAATTATAAGCCAGAAAAAGTTAAGGTATTGAACTCGGCTTTCAAAAAACTTAATTTCAACGAAAACAAACCACTTTTCTTGATCATTTCCAAGGCATTCTACAACAGCGTAATCTTTGTTCATAGGACTACCAGATGTAATTGGAATCTGACGACCAATTTTCAATCTATTGTCATCAACTCGTTCAAAATAGGCAATAGTACATTTAATACCACCATGACGTCTATAAAATTTCAAAAATTTTTTTTTAGGAAAAGTAAAACTGGAACCTCCTGTAAAAGCCAATTCGATAGTTGGTATAAAAGAAAACAAAAGTGGTGATCAAATAAATTTTACTTGATAGCATCAGATGACATAGTGAACAATCCTTTCTCATCAACATAAGCCCACTCTTTTTCTTTATTTTTACTACAATCGAGTGCTTCTACATGGTGAAAAAATCCGATAACTTCACTACCATTGATATTTAATTTCGGGATGCGACAAGCCTTAAAACACATTCTTTGAAGCAGATTCATGTTTGAGATAAAAAAGAAAAAGAAAAAAAAAATAGCACTGAGTACGCTCCCTACGTTACTGGAAACGCTGCAGTGGATCTCTAATGCATATGTTGAGTAAAGCCTCCTAAGAATGATCCATAACAAAAAAACATGCGTAGTGTCATCAACCCATTGTCTACTACATTATCGGCAGCTTGTCGAAAAAAGTAAGTGGAATTAATACCTGTTCAGATTTTCTGGAAAAGTTGTGCCTTCGAGTGGCTGATTTCCGCATATCAGCTGTATCAGCACCTAATACTATTATATGAGGCAACTGGAAAATATGGAAATATACAATAAGTCACAATAAATAAATCTAATCATTCAGAAAGATCGAAACTGAAACTAATAAAAAGCTGTGTTCCAAAGAAACGCTCGAAAGTAGGTTTGTGTAAATGCGAGAAAAATGTTTAATTTCACGAGAAAAATTACTGTCAACTTCATGCTCAAGTAAGCGCTACCGTAACTGAAAAACCAAGTTTTAGGATGAAGCACAAGGAAATATCACATAAGTTTTTCTTTTTTTTTATGGATGAATGCACAACTTAGCATAAAATTCATGGTCTGCAGAAACAAGAGCAATCTCATTCTCTTCCTCGTATTATTTCGAACTAAAAAAAAACTCATTTCTATTATTTTAAAAATAAAAAATAGATAAAAGAAGCAACCGATGGATGAGCAACAGGTTCTTCAATCCAGTACGCAGTATCTGTTGAAGGTTTCGAGGAATATGTAATGAAGATGAACAATGCAATAAAAACAATAACCGGAAGTAGAAGCATGCGGAACAGTTTTCTTAAATGTCTCGGAAATCTGCCAATTCTGTTTAAATCTAAAAAGAACAGGCGTGAAATGACATCACTGACTATCGAAAAATTTCCACAATATACAGCAACCTCTCCCCAAAAATGTAAGTGGCACGACTATTGCTTTGATAAAGAAGAAACTTTGATAAAACTTCATGAAAAGAAGAACAGTGAGTATAACCAATTTCGAAATTAAGCTTTTTCCTAAACATCGGAATCAAAAAACAATCATTTCACTTAGTAATATCGATGAAATTCAGATATCAACGAAGAAAACTGCTAGAGACTCAAATGACAAAACATAATCATTGAAACCGTTTTTGTTTCAAGCACCTCCAATAATATATAGAAATATGAAAATGAAAACTTTACCATTTAATAGTCGCGCACATGAAGTTTTACTCCTGAAGGTACTTCCTGAGGCATGCATCAATTTTGCCTCAGAATCAGATGTCTGCAAATAACACAAATGTAAATCTGCATTCTTTATAACGAATAAATAACATACTAGATTTCTACATGAGACATACAATACAATATAAATTGTGACGAAATCGTCACACTGCAACAGCCAAAAACTCATAATACAAAAACACCAGTTCTTGTTATTAAAAAAATCAAAAACATTTAAAGCCTTAAACGATTAGGAAAACTTGCAATAAAAACAAATTAAGAAAATGAAAAAAACATTTTTTCGTCCTAATTATTTGCCTCATAGCAAAAAACAAGTCTAATATCATAGTGGATATTTTCTCAAATAAAAATTACATGATAAAGATAAATAGCTTAACTTATAATCATCTTTTCAAATATTGAAAAAGTGATTTCCTCCCTCTCTCTTGCCCTTTCCTCGGTAAATTAATTGCTTGAAAAGTTCAACATCAACATCACATCATAAAAAAAAAAAAAAAAAAAAACAATGGTCGGAAATCTCCCATTATCAAAGAATACAGCAGAAAATCAATTAAGTCAACATGCAAACAATAACCAGAAATAAAGATTACTGCAACTAGCATACAAAAGCTTGGCAAAATACAGACAGAAGTGCCACTTCAGACATCGAAAACAGTAGTGAATAATGAGATAATGCCCGATAAAACCCATCAAAAAGTTCTCGAGGTAACAAGCAGACATCTTCGATAGCAGCCAAGATTAACCTTTCCTAAACATAAATTCTTAAAAGTGGATATCGTTAACAAACTAGCTGAAGAAACGATTCGCCAAGAAGAATGTCAATTTATATTGGTTCTACTGTTGGAAAAGAACTTGAAAAAATAATAGTATAAAGATATACTTTGTTTACTACCATCCGATAAATGCAATTTGTGAATTAAATGGTATGAGAAAAAGCTAAGATCTGCTGAAGAATAAGTGAAAAGACCATCGTTCTTCACATACTATTGAATATACCTTGTCAATAAAACTTATTGGGACAAAAAAAATCTCTAGATGTGCAAAAAAAGAACAAAAACAAAATAATGCCTACTCCCAACTAAGCGGTTCTAATAACAACGTTCTAACAACAATTCGAAAGTTGTTATTCATCCTTTTATTTAACACAAATCATCTGGTACTATATTAATTATACTACTCCAACCTAAATTAATGAAATATGCGAATAATATGCTGTTTTAGTGTGAAATAAGCAGAAATAAACTAACACTGTACTTTAAAGAAAAGGATTAATATCAGTAACCCCAAATGTATTATCGAAATGACAATACATTTAAGTATTGTTTCATCCGTTTAAGTAACAATACAATGTCGAAATGTCAATACAGAAATGACAATTCAAATGGTATACGGGAAATATGAAACATGAATTAACCCTTTTTTGTAAACGACTTAGAAAAGGAATAAATCGCAGTTCTCGATTCGTATATCTTGGAATTTCCTCCTTTATAATCAACTAATCAATCTAATTACAGCTCCTTACACATAAGCCTGCTGTATTCCATCTCACGATTTAGAAAATTATAGTTGTGTAGGTAAGGATGTAAAGTGAAGATATTTATCTTCGTGATAAATAATGTTCTCTAAGATCTTGATGATATCCCTTGACATTTCAAGACGTCATTATGAAGTTCCATTCATTTCAAAAAATCAAAATACAAACGTATGTAAAACAAGACTGACGCATAGCAAGTGAGAATTCAAAAGAACTACTAAGACAGCAAAAATCATGCACAAGAAAAAACCATAAACTATGTTAATGAAAACCTAAAGCGAAGTAAATCAGTAGAGTTTCAGCAGTGAAATTTATATGTTGGTCTACACAGCGTTGTAACAAATCGAGTAATCAGGAAACTTGCACTTACATTGCTCTTGCTCTATATGCTACTATTTTTTCGCTGTCCATAACAAAAATGAAAAAATGGTACGAAACTAGTATGATAAAACATCTTGCCAGAAACGCATCTGATCATTTGTCCGGATTTTTAAACAAGTAGACGGTCAGAATTGAAAAACTGATTTAAAGGGGCTTACATTAGCTGTCTCATCGCAACCCTTTAATCCATACAGTTCATATTTTGTCGTAGAGAACATTTCATCTGCTTGGGTCGGTTCGATACATTTTTTCATCATCCTGTACAGTAAGTCCTTCCAACTTTGTAAAAGCCTGTAATGGCAAGTGTTGTTAAAACCGGTGATGAAATCACAAGTTCTTATTTAAAACTTAAAAAGGACACTGTAGTTCTTTTTAGCTATATATATATATAAAAATATATCGAAATGCATAACTTCAAAGTAACACTGAAATAAACACCAAACAGAATGAAACCAACACACATAGGCATTACACATGCACACACTGGCCCCAAAATTTAATCCAAATCACATCTTCCTTCGCTCTCTGAACTCGCCACTCGCCCTCCCCAACTGTTTTACTTCGTCTGATGTACGGTATGGCATCAATATTTGGGCAATCTCGGGTTCCTTTTCTGATTTCAAGATGTTTGATAACGGTAGCTCAGGAGAGGGACATCGAGTGCGCTAGAGAGACGGACTTCTGGTTAATATAGGAACGAAAAGCGAAGAAAAGGAAAAGTCAACGGAACAGAAAGGACACTTCTCAGGGCTCTATGGGGTATTTGGTGGTTGGCCGTATTTTTCCGATTTAACCCTGAGCGAAGTTGCAGAAGTTTTTTAATGCGAAGTACGGTGGTTGTGGTAATTTTCACTTTGTAGTCATTTGCTCTGATTACTGCGATGGCTTCCGGTATAGTGAAACAAAATTCGCATGTGACTGCTGAGGATCAGGAAATGATCAATCGGTTTGCTCGACTTTATCAAAAATCGCTAGATGTTAAAGTATGATAAGTTGCATTTCCTTCGGACCTTGAAATTTGATATGTAGGCATTTTTGTCAATCCAGTTTGACTTAATTTATATAAGTTTCAATTCTTTTAGTAGTAAATTTCCTTCTGGCTTCTCTTATGACTGAAACGTGTACCAAGAACAGAATTTCCAGATACCTCTAGTAAAACGGTTCCCACAACTTCAAATTCCACCATCCTTCACGAAATACTGTTGACTATTGATATTGTCTATCGATACAGGTTTGAGATCCAAATATTTTAAAAAATATTGCGAAATCCACTGCTTGTTTTTTAGGAGAAACTTCAAGAGATGAATAGTGATCTTCAAAATTTAAATGATGCAACTGATGAAATGGTGCTTTTGGAAGAGGCAGGAACCATACCATTCCAGATTGGATCAGTGTTTATGCATACGGATCACGTAAGCAGTGCATTATTGTTGTACTATGCTGCTACATTAAAAGCTGGAATTTTTGACCTGTAACTGTATATTCTCGATAATATTAGACGTTTAGACGTGTGGTTGAGTTGGCGTTCTACTTTGAGAGGAATGCCTCTTGCATGATTGTTGTCGTTAGCTTTCTAGGCTTTTTAAGAATAAAAACTGGTGCTAGATTTTTTGAAAACTTGTATTTTGTTATTCTGTTTGTTTATTTTATAGGAAAAATTAAGCGAGACACTGGAAAATATGAGAAGTGAGTTGGAAAATAAAGTGATTAATCTCACAGAAAAGTATGAAAAAATTTGCGACGAAATGAACTCTTTGAAATTGATACTTTATGGGAAGTTTGGCGATAGTATCAATTTGGAGACTGATATGGATAACCAATAGTAACTGAGCGAGATATGAACTATCATATGAATAAATATATAGCATATTACTGCGGTTAGCGTGACATGCGGGAAGCACTACGGTTTTGCATACTAATAAGTTTTTTGATGCCCATAAAAGTCAAAAACTGGTCTTTTCTATATCAAATCCACAGGAACTTAAAATTCGTTTTTTTATTATCACCTTTTTATTGAATTATTCTTGGCGAAGTTCAAAAATTTTGCGCTTACTTTACTTAGATTTAAAACTTTTCATAATGAATTTAGAATTATTCTGGACAATTTTAAAACCTGTCTTAAATTGTTTGAATATCACGTTAGTTTTCCCAATTATTTGTTTTATTTGGTTGAAGGGTCACCTCATTTATTATATGAATAATGTTCTAAGATTGGGTTTCTCTATTCCAGAATAAATTTAGAAAATGACTTCGTTCGCCTTCCAGTAATTTGTTCTCTTACTGAATGGACAAGTTATTACTCCCACTTTTTTCTAGAAGAAAATTTTTCTTCATAAGCAAGATAATTTTTGATTAAAATCCTTTTCATGAGAGGGGAAGGGATGCAGGAGGGAGGAATAGAAATTTAGGTATTTGTTTACCGGATTCATTACCGGTATTAGCACTGTCTTCCTTTTTCTTCATTATATCAGATTGCATATTTGTTCTTATCCGGAGAATTACAATGATAAACACTGCTTAAGGTAGTGTTTATCTTGTGTGTTTTGTTTGTCGTTTATTATTTCATGAATGTCACATTTCATGCTCTGTTTTACAATTCCAATACTTTAAAATAAAGTTTAACTTTTTTTTTTTGTTCAGTTTACTGTTGTTTTTAAAAGAGTGGCCATGGGAGCAACTCAAAACAAATTATATCATATCATATTTGCTTTCCCCGTGCCTTATGTAATGTTTGCCATACGAAATGCCAGTCTCTCTTAAAGTAACGATTACTAATATTTACCATAGGTGCTATTTATCATGCGTGATACTTGCAAATAGGAAACCGGATTGGGTGCAGTTTTGTTGTGTACTTTCGATATATACCTTTTATGTTTCTTTTTACTGGCTTGAATCTATTCTTTGCCATAAAACTTTTTACTTTAATAACCTAACTTAATTTTTCTTAAGTTATTCAATAGAGAAAAAGGTAGCGTTACACATTGTACAGATGAGATTGATAGGTTGGGGATGTAATATCAAAGTGTTCCATTCTTCTTTAGTAACGGTGGGAAAGGAAATGGAGAGGAAACGAATAACAATTTTTTTAATATATTGTCATAGTTCTCATTTATTAGAATCCTTCCTTCTGAGTTACCCAAGTGGGATAAGAGACATGATGTTACAGTTTTAGCAAGAGTTGAGATGAAATGATTGATGTTTTAAAGATGTTGAGATATTGGTTGCCATGACAAAAAAAGCTTATGGTTTGATGCTTTAGTGGATTTTAGAGTGTTTGCTTTTATTTCACTCATCTGCTGTATTCCAAGAACAGTAAAATTTATCGAGGACAGAGAGGATCATGGGATTTTTCTCGAAGTTTTCGGAAGTTCCATACATTAGTGCGTCAGAATGACCTATCAAAGTTATACTAGATGTGCATTCATTATCAGTGTCTTAGTTTCATTTATTTCGTAAATGACTGGAAAAGCTGCTTCAAACTAGCCTTTCTACTCATCACACTTTAGACCTCGGAACTGGATTAATTAGGAAAAATTAGTTTTATTGTCAGTAATGCATAAGAATCTTCACCCGTTTTTCATTTTCTTGGCGATTTTTTCTTTCCCTTGAAATTATACCCATTTTTTTAAAGTACTGATTTATAAATGACTTTTTCTTGACTTTTCACATCACTGTTTGACCATTTTTGATATTTGATTTCTTTCCACTTGCATAGATGCTAACTTTTCTCTTTATTTAAATCAATTATGTGAAAAAAGAAACAGTAAACACATGAGATTTTCCGACAGAGTTATTGAGCATGTACTGCTCCCTTGTAAAAATGAGTCATTTTGAAAGGAAACTTACGCTTCAGTGCTTTCTTAGATGACCAAAATTTCTGAAACGGTTTTAAGCATTCTATCTGTTGTTTCCGCGTGTTTTGATATTCTACTATAATTCATCTGCAAAATAAGTCTTTCTTTTCATATTGTTGCACTATTAATCAGCTTTCGTTTTTAATTTGGATTTTAAATATTGAAATCAGAATTTCGCTAAAGTTTGTATAATACAAATAACGATAAATGGATGATGTCGAATCAGGAGAAAAGATACACAGGTTTCAGCTTAATTAATACGTGCTGTTATGCATGCTTCATCAGTGAAGACATTAAATGTGCGTTAAATGGCATCCATTTAACGGGGCATCATAAACTTTAAAAAAAAAACGCTGTCAAAGAGAGGACTGTGTTTCTCACTTCACTTTGAAATTCATGGCGAAGCGCATCGCAACAATGGATCAGTGTCTGTTTTTATCGTTACAAGTTATATTTTTGTCGTAAACAGTGATAGAAACAGCACCTCCTTGATAAGTGTTGAGAAGTATACAATAAGTGCTAACATAGCTTCCGTTAAAGCGTTTCCTGCAATTCATTTACGATGAAATAATCATTGCTTAATACCACTGGTGTATCAGACAGTGTGACTTATAAACGAATGCAAACGTTGTCTATTATGCTTCATTAATTTTGAAATAAAGTGGAAGTCAGTTGCAAAGTGGTAAGATGTTTGTACTTCATTGCTATCAGTACACTTTAGTCTTTCACCTTTCTCTTAAATGATCAAATGCTTCCATTAAGTATTTGTTATATTAGACTGGTAATGATAATTGTTGAAGAATTTATTTCGTTGACTTAGAAGGTTTTGAATTTTAGAGAAATATACTGCCATTGTTGTCATTACTTTATTCTTTCGAGAGATGGTGTACATTTCTTATCATATGCTAAAATAATGAATCGCAATAGCATTTTGTGGGAGTGCTTTTTTTAATCACTAGACTTCGTGCCAAAAGTAGGGGGAAGCTTATTTGATTTTTTTCATCTGCCATATATCTGATCATCGAACTGCGACATGTGAGATGAAAACAGCGGAGCAAAACACATTTTTCAAGCAGATTGTAGTTATTGTGGATTATTTTGTTAGTTTTTTGGATGGATTACAGAAGATTACATTCCGCATTCCGTGAGTTCTGCTCCATCTTTTCTTTATTTAAAATGACTTCGATAAGCAAGATGCAAATTTAAATAATAGAAGTATAACTGATACGTTTTAACTAGAAAAAGTAATTTCGGTGGAGATTTGACTTCTAAAAATATCCAACTAAAAGTTTTTATTAAGCTTTTTAATGATTTAGGTTTACACAGATTATTCTAATCGACTGAAATGTTCGGGAAATGGAAGCATTGCTGTAAAAAATTCCATCTTTTGGTTCAAAAAAAAT